ATATGAGCCATAGTCTAAACTCCTAGTATCCCCCTTAATATCCCCTAAGGTAGTCCCCTATATAATCCCCTATATAACCCCTTTAAGGAGTTTAGACTATAGCTCATATAGCACTGTGTACCCCTGTTTGTCTGAGTCTGTCTAGGATTGGAAGTATGAGCCCCAGTGTCAACCTCTACTTGCCGGGCTGGCCCAATACGCCTGCTGCTGGAACCTATGTGGGGAATTAGCGGTATCATTTTGGGGGGTCCCACTAACAAGGGTTAGAATATTTCGGGCTCTATATAGAAGTCCCTGACTTAGGGAAATTACCCTGTATCCTCAAAAGAGCCCCCAACGTTGAAAGGACATTTGGAGGGCCTGTGTGGTTCAGGCCCTCCCTCAGGGCTTTGGGGTTTGGAGGCTGCTGGTAGAGCTTGCTAGGGGTTAGGGTTCAGGCACAAGGCCAAACAAAATGCCAGCATGTAGAAGCTTACCATCTACACCCCAAGTGCTTGGACTCATCATGCCTATAAGCTACATAGTAACCCCAGTTATCCCCATTATTTACCTACTTACTAAATCCACCTAAACCCTAAACCTTAAATAGTAGCTGCCATTTTATCCTTCCATTCCCTCTATAGAGTCCTAAAATATACCACTACGTATGCCTGTAATATGCCCTTAAATCTCCCTACAGTTATATACTTGTATTTATCATACTACAGGGATATATAACATAAGGATATCCCTGTATATAATATACCCCTAACCCCAAAACCCAAAACCCTATGCCGCCTACATAAATGCATATATATATATATGTATATATATATATATTGATTCAACTCTCTTGTCGCCTCCTCCTTGCGATTGTCGATCATGTTCTGGATAAGCTCCTTCACCTGAAAACAGCCCAACATTAGGGTACATTTGAAAGAGAGTTATAGGGTGTATATATATAAGGGTTCAGGGATTAGGGGTACTTTTTGCTTTCCCCTTAACTCTAAGAGCCGCTGTGATTTCCATGGCGCTAGCTGTTGAGTTAGCTGTTTCCTCTATGAATGTTGCAGGGTTTGCTGCTTGTACCATTTTTGGGGGTCCGCAAAGTAAGGATTCTAGTATATTGGGGTTTATATTGGGGTCCATGAACAAATGCCAAAAAACGACCCAAAGTGCTACATTCTCAGATCCCTAGACCCTAAACCCTAAACCTTTTGGGAAATCATCCCAATACCCTAAAGACCCCCTAAACGCGCAATCACTGATCCCTATACTTACTAAGCCCGAAGCAACGAACCCTCAACCCTAAATCTTAAACTCTAAACCCCAATTCCAAAGCCCTAAATCTTAAACCCAAAGCCCCCAAAACCCTAAACCCAAAACCCCAACACCCAAAACCCCCAAAACCTGAAATGCCTAAACCCTAAATCCGAAATCCTTAAACCCTCTATCTCCAACTCTGCCAGGCACCTTGGCAAACACGTCCGCTGACTGACCTGAGGTGTCAGTCTCGCTGGCTTTCAGCTGCAACTTCTTTGAATAAGGTCTAGGCTTTAGGATTTAGGGTTAAGGGTTTAAGGTTTAGGGTCAACAGGTTTACCTGAACCCCAAAACTCTGTAAAATAATGGCCCTTTGGGCTATTTTTAGGTGTTTTGGGCTATGGTTTTACCTACTTTTGGGGTTTAGGTAGGGTTAAGGGTCAAAGGGTTTAGGGTTCAGGCTTTAGGGCCCTTAAGGTTTAGACTTTGGGCTAAGGGTTTAAGGGGTTCAAGGTTGAGGGTTTAGGGGCACAAGGGTCTGTCTCCACACGACAAGAAGAACCAGTGGTTGAGATCTGAAACTGACACGCTTGTCAGTTCGTGATGCTGCTGGCAAATAATGCAAAGTAACAAGCTCGATCCTTAAGCTTCTCCTGCTTTGCCCTTAACCCTGTAGCCCACACTACATGGGTTTGGCGGGGGCAGGAGCCCCCTGATCCCACAAACCAAAACGTGTTTTCTGAGTCCGGCGCGCGTCTGGAGAAGGGACTCGATGTTGGAGGCCAACGACTCCAGACCGCTGGATTGAGACTGGCGCGGAAGCCCAGGGACAACAGCTCTCCCGTCCACCAGCATACAGTGGATACTAAAAATCTTGGATGGCCCTAAGTACCTTAGACTCCGGGAATTATGGTATTCTAGTATATTAAGGTCAGGCAGGATTTTCGGAACTGGAACATGACATGGGCACCGAGGCTGTAGAGGGGTTATAAGCATCTGTAACCCCTCCCACCTCCCCGACAGCAATGATTCCCGTATGAAATAGTTGTACAATATTGGCAACGCTTATGTGGGTACGGTTGGCCGGAAGAGGCTTGGATCGCATGCTGCTATTTGAGCGCGTTGGAGTTCAAATCATGCTTTTGTGGAACAACCTCTCCTGCAATTACCGTGTCGCATTAGTCAAGCAGGGCCCAGTGTCAGGTGTTCAATATAAAGGTAGCAATGGCGAAACGAGTTTCGTACATCAGGGGACCGTGTGCGGATAGGGGGGGATCATTGTGCGGGCTAGGGCACGGCTGAAACTGGAAAAACTTAAGTGAAGCAACGATGTGTCCAAAGATCGTCTGGCTGCTTGTTTCACGCAACAGCTGTCGCAGAACAATACAGCATGGCTTCTATACACACACACACACCCGCACCTTTTTCCTTTAGTCTACTCGCTGGTTACTAGCATCGTAGCCTGTATGTCGCTCCCGATAATATGATGGTTTCCATTTTCTTCGCCAATCCCCAAAATCGACAGTTTCATCTTTCCGCTCCCTGATCCCGAGTTTCATTCCATCACATCCTAATTTCATCCCAGCTTCCATTCCATTTTTCATGTGATTCTCCAAAATCTACCAACAACCAGCCAGCCTACTCCTGACATGTACGCAAGCGGCTGCCGATGGCGAGGCAATGCAAGGCACCTTCTTGGCAAGGGTGCGGACCATCTTCACGACCTCATAGCTCCTGCAACTACTTAGGGATTCCAAGAATCAGGGGGTACCTTTTTGGAGGTCCCTATAATAAGACATATAGTATTTGGGGGTCTGTATTGGGGTCCCCCTATCTAGGGAAACTAAAGAACATGACGCCATCTTAAGAACTCATAGTTCAGTGGAGTATGTTAGGAACCAAAGCAAGAAGAGTGGAAACCGTAGCTAGAACAGCATGGATGGAAGAAATTCTCACAACAAATCTGGCAGGTTTGCCCCTGAATCCTAGTCCCTGAAACCCTAGTAGGCCCTAAACCCTCAACCCCCGTAACCCTGGACCCCTAAGCCCTGAACCCCGAACCCGACGTCCTAATGTCAGGCTGGGAGGCGTTGGAGACCGTCTGGCCTTGATTCGCCAAGCTGAGCAGGTCAAGCCAATCTAACATGTGAATTGAAACAGACTATAGGGTTTGGGGCTTAAGTTTTTTTTT